ACTGTATCCAAAGTCTAGTCGTGAATGGAATCACCTCGACCAAGACCTACGCATCGCCCCCGACGTCAAGACTTTTAAAGCCAATTTAGAAGCCATCAACACCAAGACGCTGACTTCAAAGGCTCACTTCAATATTCAATCACGACTTTGCACATGACCCCCCCAACGTATGTAACAACCAGCAATTGTGTTTGTACGTGAACGGACAGATGCAGATACAGATACAAAATTGTAAGTCTTGTCTGCGATTGAGGGTTGATGTTGACACGAGTATTTCATATTAAATCTCATTTAGTACACTTCTGTCAGATTTTTCATGAAAAATCATTTAAACGCAAGAAGCGTTTAAACCAAGGTGGTCTCTTCCTGGCTAGTCAGTAATGTTGCTGTCCAAAGTAACATTTTGTCAACTTCCACCACAAATGATGATGGCATCAGTTAAAAAGCATAACTACCCCAATGAAATATCTCTACAAATATGTCATCAAATGCATGATGCTTATAAACACTGGCTTGTGTGTTTGTTTATTGCTTTATTCTAAAATAAAATTCCACTCTGTGGGTCCTCATCACTGTGCTGAACCCTGAAAATATCGCTAGCAGCTCATGTCGCAAAAGGGGGCAATTTTATAGTTCCATGCTTCTGAAAATCCTGTTTTTGTAAAGGTTATATCTACCGTAATCTTTCAATATCAATATTGATATTGACAATAAAAATGTCCAATGGGTTGCCTGTATGCCCGAACCAGTAGTTAACATAATTCATTTTTGAAACCGGTGAAATTTGAAACAAATGTCACGTCTACAAGATACATCCTGTACATCAAAGATGATACGCACAGGTTTTGCAGAATGTCTGTACTATGAAAGCCAAAAAATTGAGCTATGGATACTGAAGGAACAGTTCGATCAGGTGGCATTACTTCACAGGCATTTCTGATGGACTATTCCAGGCCCTGATTCTTGGTACTCCTGTTTAAGGACCCAGATGTGCTGGAATGTGGAGAGGGTGGGAAGAATAGCTCCACCTATCCAGCAGGAGTACCTTCTCTCTGGAGGGGCGATAATGTTCACCTCTGTCGCCCTCCCTGGGGACATCTGCTGTTCGAGTTCCGCCTTGAGCCTTTCCTCCAACCCAGGGAACAGGGAAGAGCCGCCTGACAAGACGATGTTGGAGTACATGTTCTCCCGCAGGGAGCTATCGCACTTCTCGATGCTCTCTCGCACGAGTTGGGAGACACCAGGTGCGTGGACACCCAGCACCGAGGGGCGGAGGAGAGCCTCGGGGCACTGGAGCTGCTCCTTACCCACCTTGATGACCTTGCCGTCCGGTAGGCGGTAGTCCTTTCCCAGCGACATGTCTGTTGCAAGGCTGGTTACTTCTTGCGGGAAGTTGAGTGAGACACGGCACAGGTGTTCTTTGATGCCTCGGGCGAGTTCATAATCAGCTGTGACGACGCAAAATAAGTTTCATTATAACTGACTTTTAGTTTCTCTACAATACCTGAATAAATTCCTATCATCACATTGGTGTATCGGTGATCATTATGTCTATGAATTATTCGTTCTGTTCCACGACACCTATTGAATAGACCTTCATTTCACTTGACAGGTTCCCGACCCCATTTCCCCTATTCTATGGCCGGTAAGAAAGAGGAAAATAATATGGGGACGAGATCCAGTCTAAAATTGCAAGATGCTACTAGTGGGTGGTGCTTCAGACACGAATCTGTTTTGCAAAACGGTGGATGCCAATACGTGAGGACTGTTTGCTCTCCCGACAGAGGAGGATTTATGCAAGTATTGTATGAAACAAATAATAAATGTTTCACATTCCTGCAATGGCAAGAATAATTTCCTGAGGTGACAGATGGAATGTTCCATTCCATGAGGTGGAACATTTGATCTGTCACCTCGTAAAGTTATTCGTACCATTGCACTCACAAAAGTTCATTATTCGCATGAAATACACGTAGTTCTGATTTACTTACAACGAAATTTCATACCGGTACTAATTAAATTGAACAATATGCATGTCTACCCTCAGTCTTGTAAAAAATATTGAAAATTTTGATCGTTCGCAATTTTCTTTATTTTCTCATTCTCACCATCACAGCTATGATCATCGGAACCATCAATGTCACATTCATGATTATGCCATCATCATCGTTTCAAATGACATCGTTGCAAAAATCATCATCATTTTTTTCACGGTAACTGTCACGTTCATCATCGTCATCGCTGACATGGAATCAGCAGCAGTAACAGTTTCCATCATAAAGTCTAAGGCATTGCTTCATATATTCCACAATATCACCGTTGTTATTACAGTCAATGACCTTACAAATTGTATTCCCCAAGTTAAAGCAACCCAACAAAATCTATACAAAAACAGCCGTCAATCACCTGGCGTTTTAGCAATCAATCCACGGGCAAAAAGCACGTCCAACAGATACTCGGTCAGATCTTGCCCCGCCGTGTCGACTCGCAAGGTGGCGTGCTTCACTGCGAATCCCTCGGAGATGGGTACAACATATGATGCGCCGTGACCGATATGGACAACCATACCGGTGAGCCTACCAGATGAACACATGGACAGTTTGGCCTGATTAGCCAAGTACAAGGCAGGCACGTTGAAGGTTTCAAACAGTATCTAGAAACCATTAAAGGGAAAGAAAAGAGACAAGCTTGGTGCGGCAACACTGAAGTTCTATGATTTCCCTTGGTTACATGAAGTTAAAAGCACAGTCCGGCTCGCGAACAGAAGCACCCCCTTATTGGTTGAAAAGAGTCGCTTTGTTCGGACGTGTTAAATTTGCTGGTAGCAATACAACTGAAGCTCGTGCATTTCTTAGTTGTTTGTTAACGATTGCGATCAAAGGAGTCTTCGTTGCTTAGAAAATAGCGTCCTCTCTCCCTCAAACTCGAGGCCCATTGCTAATATTAAATCCAATTCTTTTTCTACGAGTCCCAGCACCGGGAATATCTATATTTGCTACGATTCAGGGAAATTGCTGGACCTGTCGTGTAATACAATGTTCTGACATATCTTTTGTCAGTTAAGTGGCAGAAATTTGAATATGAGTATAAATTTAATGGCACGCTCTTTGCTTAACACCTCCAGTTCTGCCACTGCACGGAGCTGTTTATTGCGAGAGTTGCAACATAAGTGTCTCAATTATTGGAACCAAAATGGTGGATTATGCACCAGTGTACATGGAAAATTAGCACACAATAGCTGCATGACCTACGTTACAGCTCTGCCACAGCAATGTCAACACCGCCCTCTGTGGAATAGGCAATCAAAACACAATTCACTGATCTGCACTTTATGCATACATACAGTAAGTGAAAGTGGGCACATTTGCTTTCCATAGCATCCCATAATCACACCCTCTGGCTTCCGACACATTCCTACCTGTGCCATCTTTTCTCTTCTCTCATTCGGACTGAGCGGCGTCTCTGTCAGTAACACCGGGTGCTCTTCCGGTGGCACCCGTAGTTCGTTTTCGAAGGTGTGATGCCAGATCCTCTCCAGCCCGTCCCAGTCTCGGACCGACCCTCGTTCAATGGGACTTTTCAGTGAGACCACGTTCCTCCTCTGAAGAGCTTCGTGACCCACGAAGCAAGCCTTCTGCCCCACGCCCGGAGTGATTCCCTGTTAAATTTAAGCGGGCTTTCGATCGATGGTGCATTTTATACAATACACATTGTTATAGAACACATCAATTATGAATAAATTTAACCCTATTTGCCACAGTACCTACTTACAATCTTACCCCCACAGATCACCCACTTTTAATGTATAGGCTTACCAATGGAAATTGAAATTCTTGGTCCTAGAATCTCATTCCAAACACTTTGGCTTAAGTTTTCCACAAAACTAGCCTACTCTGGAGCAAGATCACCGATTCTCCCCCACCTTATTATTTTATTCACCCAGGCTACAATTGGCAGTTACTTCGTCGACGTGTCATTTTGATAATCTGCGAGCGCGTCTCCACAATGCAGCCGTTGCCGCACAATGCCAATGTAATAATACGAAGAGTATTACACAGCCGCTGTCGCTTGTTGCATTGTGACTCACCTTGAAACGAGGCCTGCCGACCACAGAAGGGAAAACGGTACTCGGGAAGTCCTGACCAGATAAGCCCGCTTTACACGAGCAGGACCCGCTCTGGATAACCACAGCACGGCTACTTGTCTTGGCCATGTTGGATCAATGAATGTAAGTTTTCGAGATATACATGTAACTGTACTTTACACCCTGCGAGAGAATCACCAACAATCACTTCTTGTGGCGGTGTTGGCATCAACGGTGCCCCTGGCTTGCGACACAGTTACGCAGGCACTTTTACACATTTTGAACTTTACCCATACTGTTTTCTCTAAAAGTGCGCAAAGAAATGGCGCCATTCAAAAGGGGGAAAGTCTGTTGTTACACCGATTGCTGGAGTTTCAAAGCGTTTTGTGTGAATAGTTTGCATTCCATGCTGTCTGCTTCAATGCTTTAGTACACAAAAGACGTGGCCGATCGTATCCCCTATCTCCCCAGAAAACCCCCAACATTCCATGCATCAAAAGAGTTATTATTCAAGAAAGTGTTCAGATAGGCTAATGCGATTATGCAGAAAAGCTGTCCATATCAAGTTCAGCGTACACTGAACAGGATTTACATTTCTTGACATCCGAGATATTCGTGCCACTATTAATTAGAGGAGACGTCTCAATTCAATGCATGCCAATGGCTTCTGGCGTGATGCCGGACAATGAACTTATCATTGTTTTTATCGATAACCCTCATGGGCCTCATGCAAAATAAGGTCCTCACTCCAATAAAGAGGCCAGTTCACCTACAGTAATGAATCCACCGCTTCGTAGAGTTTGAAGTTAAGCTACAATGAATTTTGTCTTCGGCACTTTTTTTTTCAATTTTGTTGTATTCTTCAATGTATGTATGTATGTAAAGAGCAACTCTAAAGAAAACATGTTTTCTCTGATTTTTTCTGTTCAAATAAATGTTGAAGCATCCACATCGAACGCAGTGCCATTAATTTTGCCTCCAGAGCTCAGCTATAACAAGCTAAAAAAAGATGCGAATTTTGAACATGCTGAATGGAGATTGCGTCATTCTGAGAAATTAGAGAAACCGAGGGGAACCCTCACCCTGTGTTCGTAGTGGATAAACCCTTGTGCATGCCAAAAAATGGCGACAAAGAATGGCTGCATGCACTGGTAAAATTACACAGTTGTGGATACTATTAAATGGAGTTAACAATGATATAGATTGATTGACCAGCAATGAATAAGCTTATGCTGTGATAATTGCAAGCATGAAAGTTAAGTTAAAGGATATGGCAGAGCCAGTGGACAAAATTAAAGGATAAAAGGATAATTAAAAGGACAGGCTAGAGGGTAAAAGGGGCACTTTGCAAGCTGCTCTCTCTATCGAGGTCAGCTGCATTAAAAGATCACACAGTGAAACAATTCAAAAACATGTAATAGTTAGTGAGTCCAAACATGAAATAGTCGTTACGCTTCGTGCATAGGCACAAGTCACATGGCCAAACTTTCCACAAAACTTTCACGACAATGTGAAAAACAAAATCAGTCTAAATGACGAGTTTTTGACCTGACTTGGAGCCCACACTTGGCCCACATGTACTACGAGACAAATCTGTCAAAGCGAACGGCCAGAACTGTGCATAATAAAGAACGAACGATAATAGTCGCAAAAAGAGCAAGAGCAATCCTCCAGCTAGAGAGAGGCAGATTGTCACGTACGTCACGGCGAAGTACGTCGCGTAGGCGTACAAGAATACATTCATGTCTGGTACTAACTAATGAACTAAAACCCGTTCTTGCAGACTAATTTTAATGGGGATACGGTTACTTTATGATAATGACCATGAACAACCACGGGGGCGACTTTACGGAGAAACTACAACAATTTAAATATAAAATAGGAACACTGTAGGAACACTCGAGGTTCGTGAGAAAGCGCGTGATGTGGAAACATTAACATTAATAATTTTCAGTTCAGTTCAGTTATCCAAATACTAACCCCCCAAATAACGTACATGGACGCCGCCGTGATGCATGTTGCTTGACAGTTAGTACCGGCGATAACCAGTTGTACGTTCCCAACGTTCGAGCAGCCGACCCACGAAGAACAAACCGAGGTGGCTGTTCGTGAGCATGAGAACAAGCGGACTGAACTCAGCCTCTTGGAATGTATACTCATACAGCCTAGGACCAAACCTCTCGCCCGAAAAAAACACTATGGTGAAATTTAAGGGAGGACTCAGCTTCAAACAATACGTGCCACGCAAAGCAGCCACATGGGGACGGAAATGTGTGTTTTTTGAATGAGTTGGAAACGGTTACACACGTGCCTGATGTACACAGCGGAACCGAAATCTCCACAGCCAGACTTTCGACCGTCCTTTGTCTCCGCCGTATTAAACACGTACACCATCTGTGCTTGCAGCTGGCCAGACGGGCGGTCTTGGACCTTGTGAAAGGTTTGCAATATTAAAGTCATGTACATAGACAATTGGTGCAATGTACGCTACAAAACACTGCCCATGACACATTGCAAACCCAGAGAAGTTTCCAATGGAGAAAGGACTATATAGAACCCCGGTTCAATTCTATGTTAAAGCTGGCTTACTACGGCGGGACACAGACCATATACTCCTGACAATTTCCGGTAATTGCATTGTGACAACTTGCAAAATTCGCAGTTGCAAACATACTTCTGGATATCGCAAAAATTCATGAGTATGAGAAATAAATTATCATTTTTATGATTAATAATTCATTTGCTATTTGCTTTTCTGTCTGTTTTTCTTTATTGATAAAGAAAAGATGTGATTCACAGTTACACCTCTCTTCAATCCCATTCATTTAAACACATGACAAAAAGGAAGTAAACTTCATTGCCCCAAAACCTGTAATAAAAGTTTAAAGTAGTTTCTTTTCAGTCAATGCTCCTCCAAATCCTCTACCCTATCTAGAATGTTCCAAGAAATTATCAGCCGTTTCCTTCCTCAGATCGGTACACTTACTCGTATTTGGATTCCGCATGGACACTGTGATCCCGAGCACATACGTCCTTCCTTAATTCCAAATTACCGTAAAAACATTGCTATATATACACTATCAAAATATTTTCTTCTCAAGCTTTTTTCCCAGGTTCCAATGACAAAGTCTCGAAAAATAACTAGCTATTACTCGATATCGTGAGCACATGATCCGCTTATAAACAGAACAAAGATTGAAATGTAAATATTCTGGCAAATTCAAGAAGAAAAAACTGAACACATTTTGTTCTAGCAAATGATTTTTAGTAAAAGGTTTTTCTTCTTTGTTATTTATACAACTACAAGTAAATGCTTAAAAATGTTAGTAAAAGCAAATGCTAGTTGTTGACCCATTTGTTCCCGAGGTAAAACAAATTCACATAAAATCCAAGTAGCCCTTTAACAAGGAAGCAGGGGCGGACCAGACCTACAATCCTGGCCAAATCTCGTTGGGCAGCGGCACCCTCTCAATGCTGGGTGTCGATGCGCGGCCTGCGCTCTAACTCGAGGTATCAACGTTGAGCGGGGGATTGGGGCACTTGGGGAGGGTAACTACCAATGTATGTCTATTGATACGTGTTCCAACAATTTCGCCCATGATTGTAGAACATCATCATTCGGATCTGTGGTGTGGACTGTAAAAAGGTGATTGATGAGAAAATGCAAGAAGATGCACACTGACTTATTCACGTCAACATTTCATAGAACTGAAAATACAACGTGAGACATACAGTGTTGAAAATAAATTATATAATGGCAGGAAAAGCACTTGTTCAAATACAAATAAGAAATTTGCTGTAAAGAGATTCTCTTCACAGGACAATGTGTCTGAAGAGTTATTCACCACGCATCAGATCCACCACACAACACAACATGTTAGCAGAACTATTTGGTTCCTGATTCGGCTGTCATTTTATGCTAATAAAGGAAACGAGAGAAAACGCTCCCCCAAAACAGGCGAAAATGCCGTGTCATTCACGTAATACTATGAAAGAGTTCGGATATGTCGACATGGTCTGGGGACTTGCCTATATTGGGGTGCGTTCATTTAAAAATAGTAAAGAGGAGCTGTCAAGGAGAACATTTAATGTTAACATTATCGTTTGTGTAAATGTGTATTTTTTGCTACGTGATGTACTACTGTAGAGTTTTAATCACTCAGTCATTACAAAGCAACATTCTGTGCAGTAAAGTTACTGATTTTGTATCTCCTTAACATGAACCGCGAAAAGCAATATCTCTGAAATGGCCAAGCTTGCAGTTATCAGATCGTTAGCCGGTTGCTTTTTATTTTCCCAACGCTTGCTCCCGGCCAGTCTCTAAGAGACTCTAATTCTAACACGAGACCGTTGCCGAAACAGGCTCATTTATCCGGTGTGCTGGTTTTTCCAGTTGCGTTCGTACGTGCGCTGTGTCCCGCATTTGACGCGCGCGGTGACTTAGGCATACGAAGAACTATTATGCAGATGAGACTGCAGGAGATCGGGGAAGCACTTTTTTGACTTTACCGCTTTCGTGCAAGAGATCTCTGAGTGGTGCATTCATTATACAAGTATGCACCGTAAGGGTGCACCCTCGTATTTAGGCCAGAAATATGTCCGCCCAGCTCATTATAAAAGTTATACACTCAAAATATTTTAAAGTAGAGGGTCCTGAGAGCCATTGAACTGGGGTATTGAAGAAATCTGAGACTGAACCTCTGGACCGGACTCAGGGCTTCAATTCTGAGCAATTTGGACGCAATCAGGTCCGAAAGTGGCACTATTTGAGCCATTTTGTAGAGGGATGCATTTTCAAAGTGCCTATTTTCCCGGGCAGTGAAATTTTCTTCATTTTAGGGGTGGTGTGCTTTGGGTGAGAATTTCTCAAAATTCCATTGGTTAACCCACTAAAAATTTAAAGGAAAATGAAAGAGGACATATGGAACATCATTTTTCTTTGCAGCCTGAACACCTATGAAAGTTGTATTTATTTAAATATGGGCATTTATCACTACTGTCTATGGGATTTATTTGCTGCGGTGCACCCATAAGTTCTGACGTAAGAGAGGTATCGCACTTACGCAACCTCGTTCTCATTGGTACGATATTGCAGCACCATACGCTGGTTCCCGACATGCCTTGAGCAATTTTATTTAGCACGCGTACGCAGCCCATGTAGTCGAGGTTGTTAGGAAATCAGCACAATCAAACTAATTCTGTGGCGTCACTACTTTGTTCAAAGAGTAGATTACTTTTACGAATCTACAGCGAACTGTAGGTCCGTAAGCTACGAATCCATAGTTGTCGTTTCAAACATAATTATAGATTCGTTACGAATTTACAGTTACAGTAGGTTGTATCGACGAGGGGTACGGTTCATGACCACTTCTCTCCTCGTTTCGATT